CCGGCCGCGTTAATTCTGTACATAACCCGAGACACTCTGCTAGAATCCGCAGTTTTGTTTCTCGTCGTTACGTTACGTTGCAAAAACAAACCTGTTGGCGACGAAAAACTACCACGGCGGTTTCAGCGAAATGTATTTCGTCAAAGAAGGTCCGGAGGTGCACAATTCTTATTCTTCATACCGCTGACGGTTCCGATCGGTATCTATGTTCGCGCGATATCGGTTGTACTGAGATTGCGTGTGTGTTTTTTTATTTGTTCTGCGGGAAACGCTCCAAAATGCAGTTTTTATCGTACATTGAAGAACGCGAATTTATTCCACCGGCGGTGAACTCTAATCGAACAAAATTCCTAAATTCTCGACTCTCTTCTAAAATATACAGGCAAAAAACAAAAAAAACAAAATTAGAAACGAACGCGTCGAAACATTAATTTTTGTTTTATTTTCGTTCGTTCTGGGTCGCCTCTTGTTGGCCACAACGGGGAAAACACGACTAATTCTTTTTTGATTGCGCTGATTTATATCGTCGTTTTCCGTAAATTACCAACCCCATATCCTGTAATTTCCGCGTTTCCCACCTACAACAGTGGCTCCCCGCAATAGCGGGTACGGTGCGAAGCACGTCCGGTTTTTGTTTTTTGTTTTTGTTTTTTTTAAATCTTTTTTTTCTCCGCAACACACGCTAGTATAATACCGCTTACAGTTTCGACTTTTTGTCGTGTACGATAGAATTAATATAATTATATACACGCGCACGATAATAATATTATCATAATACATTTTGTTTTATCGTCGAGTCGCGTATATAAACCCACGCCAACAGGTACGCGTGCAACGTACGAGCGCGTGCCGTGGGATCGTAATTTTTAAATATTACAATAACGGGTAGTAATACGTAAGTCTATGGTACTACGGACTTTGCCGGGAATAATATTTCCGTTTTGTTTTTTCCCCCGGTCGGATATCGGTACCGAAGGGACATCTATGGGTGTAACGGCGAAACTCGCGCGGGTGCGTCGGCGGGGCGCCATCTGTCCGGTCCGTTCGGACGGCCGTCGTGCAACCCTTAAGTCGAGAACTGCACCGTAAGGCGGCGTACTATAAAAACTACGGCCGACCGCGGTTTCAAACCGCATGGGAGAATGAAAACTACTCGTCCAAATAGAGACAACCGGTTGGTTTTTTTTTTTTTTTTGCTCATCGTCGGGTATGTCACGCTACGGACAACTAATAATTATCACGCGAGAATCTGTTATACAAGAGCGCGAGTGTCCAGACAGCCGGTTATAATATTGCAATATTATTTATGACGGATTGGCGGGCGAGAGCTCGCGATATTTCGACAGCGCGCGGAGAACGAACAATTATTATCGTTTTTGTTTCGAGGACGGCAATCTCCGCGGTACGTGCACGTAAACGCGGACGCGGCGTAAAAGCAAACGGAACCGCTCACGGGTGCGCGACGCGGATCCGGCGGGAGATCTCCGGGCCGTTTTACGAGGACGAAAAGGCATTTTTCGACGGACCGTAACGCGCAAGCGATCGCGTTAATGTAAACAGAGCCGCCGGGCGCGAGGGACCGCCGTTGGAACATTGCGTGAAAACTCGAGCGAACGCGGCCCATCCGCTCGGCCCCGGACCGGGCGACGGACAGTGCCGCCGGGCGCTCGGTTTGCACTGAACGATAATGTTATTGTACGGGTTTACTGTATGGATACGACGTTGCGAAGTAATTCACGGGGAGCGCTCATGCGCGAATTAATTGTGCGACCGTCTACCGTAATACGAGCGGCCCGCTCGTAACAAGAAAAAAAATAAACGCGAAAATTCTCCTCGTATCCCGCCTATAATAATAATATATGTGTTTTGGGTTTTGGTTTTGGTTTTTTTTTTTTTTTTTCTCTCCCCATCCTCATACAGTTGCGAGAACGCCCCCGCCTCTATTATTCCGGTTAACCAGCGTATCGCGTCTGCTTCGCCCGGTTGCGCCCCCACGCTCCCGCGGTCTCACTGGCCGCCCGTCACTACGACACCGTATTGTTTTCCTCCTCCCGGTTTCACGCCGCAACTTTACCGCCGCCCGCGGTCCGTGTGCGCCGGTTTACTCGCAAAGTCGAGAGCCGAACGCGGTACCGAGACGTTTTCGCGCGTGAGAGGCTGGCCGTCGGGTGAAAAGCGAACAATACAGATTAAAACAACGTGCGTACGAACGGTATACAGATAGTGTTTACAGAATATTTGAATGTGTCGGCACTGCGTCTCTGGCGTGTTTGACGATTGTTTTAAAAATTGACCGCTCGACGGTTGATTGATCATTTACAACCCGTAGAGAATTTAAATCGGGCTAAAACCTTCTCCGCGATAAACCCTATCGTTTGAAAAAAAAACAAAAAAAAAAAAAAAAAAAAAAAACTGCGTGCCGATTGGACGAGTCTATAGCTTCTGAGATTTCCCCGGACATAAAAATGGCATTTCGTCTTTTACGTACAAAGATAACGCGTAAAACAATAACATATTGGTCTATAAAGCGGGGGCTGATAACGGGGGCTCGAGAGGCTTTCCCCCTTTGGCCCGTACGTATATATTCTTTGACGCGGTTTCGACAATATTATGTTGTATTATATTTTAATTTACTATCAACCGTTGTTATTATCGAAAGAAAATGTCACCTCATTGAAACTTGTACTGTTATTATTATAGTTTTCGATTTTTCGGCTATCGATCATCAATATTAAAAAATCGTTTAATATTCATTAAGCAAATGCTTGCTTGTAATTTTGTTTTTATTACTCGTCGGCGAACGGCTTACCGATTTGTTTTGAACAACGAACATCAGGGATGTTTTATGGTGGGAGATGTTGTCTTGCCCGTGCGTTGGGGAGGTGATTTTTCGATTTTCTTTTTTTGTGTAATTCGATGTAAAATATTAATATCTTGGAGACCTTGGCAGGCTTATTAAAAATATTGTTGACGATTTGATACAGGACATCGTCATAACACATACGGCGTACTCACAGGGAATTCAAACATAAGCGTTCGTTCACATACCATAATTGTACTGTGTACATAGATACGTATTATACAAATTAATACTGAAATTTCCAATTTATATTTCTCAACAAATGTTTAACCGGAATTCCGCTTGGAATAAGAACAACGAGAGAGTATGTGAAATGTCATTACGATACGGATTTATATGCATTAAAATCCACAAAAAAAAAAAAAACCCCGTCTAAAACCGTTAAAAACGCTAGATGGGTTTAAAAGGGGTTCCGCTTCTAACAGCTCTAACTTATATACTCGTATAATACGATTTTCTAACACCACTAAAACGATTAACGTAAAGTATATTTTTGTATAATACGTACAATTTCGATGGAAAAAAAAAATGACTTTACGTAAGTCGTTTTTGTAGCATCAGAGCCATTAAATGGGGTCTCCTCCATTTTAAACCCCTCTGCGTATTTCGGTTTTTTAAATATATTTTTTAAGGGTTTTTTTTTTCACAAGACTTTGTTGACGTTATAAAGCGCTTTAATGGACTTTAAGCGCGCGTATAAATCCCGTCCCTTGCGTATCGCGTTTGGCCTTTAAGCCGTCGATAATATACGTATTGTCGGGTGCAACGATCATCGCCACGCGGGAAGCAAATGCGTGTACAGAACCGCTGGCTGAGCGAGAGAAGAACGAGGCGAAGAACATCGTATTATTATTATTATTATTACGTGTTAGGGGTTATATTTCGCCCCCCACCCCCATTCCACCGCCGTTAGCTTGAAAATATAAAAAAATATGTGTAATAATCGAAATGCATATATTTCAGCAGAGTCATGTATTGATTAGAAATTGGTTTTTTTTGTGGGAGGATCCGGCTTTTAAATATTATACCGATCCCCGTAATCGAATCGGGTAGAGAAGACGATTTGACGATTTATTCACGATTTTTTATTTGCAACGTGGGCTCCCATTGAAAATTCCCGGGCACGCCATTGCGTAATCTACGCACACGTATTGTGCGCCCGTACACAAGGGTGACATGTCACCCCTTTATACAAATAATAATGTTATCATTTTTTTTAGTGAAAATAAATACATTTTTTTAATGATAATGACAAGAAGTACAACACTCTATAGTGTAGAATATAGGTCGGATGGATAAAATTTACGTTAATTAAAAAATAAAATCAATAGAGTAAATAAATATAGTAAATAAAGATATAAATAAAAAATATATAAATAAAACAAAACAAATAAATTAACGAATAAATGAGTTGCCTGGAGTATTATGATAAGTGTTTTACGGCGCGTTTTACATTTCGACTGTGGTACACCTGGTGATGAATTTTTAATTCGAAACCAGTCGTATAATACACTCCAGGTGACACATTCATTAATTTATTCATTTTATCTTTATATGTCCATTTTTTATTTATATATTAATTCACTTTATTTATGTACGAGTATTAACCATTTTAAGAATATTGTATTTACTTTAAGAATTTTATTAATAAAATAAATTCTGTTGATTCATAGTTATTAAATTTCTTTAAATTCTGAGTGGACCGAAGAAGCTTATATAGTTTTATAAAAATGTTCATTTTGTTTTTTTCTGTGAGCAACGTTTTTACCAGAGGCTTTCTCGGATTTCTACGTGTAGCACTTTTTCTGAAATGAAATCGGCGTAGAGTGGTACTTTAAGGAGGCCATTTTTCGATTTTCTCAGGAATTTTTTCATCAGGTTTAAAAAACCGAGATAAAACATGGGAAAACCGGGAAGAACGTGGGAAAACTGGGAAAATCGGTACAACGTGAAACAAACATTATTAAAGAAAATACATATTAATTGTTTTTCTATAAAATGACATATATATATATATATATAATGATGACAAAGCATCACTATCAACTGAAATCCGCTCAGAATCGTTTTTTCGTAAGTAATGGCTTATCGTTGTTTACAGGTATACATTAAATTATCTATAACAGTGGCTGCACCCGGGACCCATTATCCTAGGTCGTCTATCTATGACCGTCACCCCGTCACAGGTTTCGAGATATGGGTGGGTGCCCTCGCCCGTATAAGACATTTCAGCGCGTATCGTCCCGGCGAGTTTTATCGTATTTACGACGTCGTACAGCACCGCGGTCCGTAGCCGCGCGGACGTTACGGCGCGGCGAGATACGCTATGCGACGCGGCTAATAGGGTCGGCGGCGGCGTCGCAATCGATACGGCGGAAGGACCGGTGGGGCGGGGAAAAAAACCCGAAAAAACCGGTGGGAGGGAAGAACGCGGCGGCCGTCGCCGCCGTACCGTACACGCCGCGTGCGCCGCGCGCCATCGCGTCCCGCGCCATCGCTCTTTCTCCGTCTCTCGCGCGCGCGTTCGTTTTTGGTATTTTTTTTTTTTTTTTATCTCGGTTTCTGTTTCTCGTTTTTTTCAACGTGCGAGTTTTAGGTTTTTGGTATTTTTTTTTTTTTTAATATCGCAACGTTATCGCGCGAGACGCGCGGTCGTCTACACCCCATTCCCCTCCCCCCCCGACCGATCACGGTCGTTAAGACGTTCCGCGGATGCGCGCACACCGCGAGCGTTTTCTCCCCCGCCCCCGTTTCTCGTACAATATTCCAAAATTATATTCTCTAGTGCGACACGCACGCGCGCGGTTTTAGCGCGTCGATACGACGGCGTCAAGTTTGGAAAATAACGAAAATAACGAAAAAAAACACCGCAGTTGTTGAATTTACGGGATTTTATCGTTACGTTTTGTGTACGCCGAACAGACGGAATCCGCGAGAAACGATTACGTAGATACAAACCGGAGACGTTACACTGTAAAATACCATCCCTCGCAGACCAGAAGGCAATAAAAAATGTCGTCTATTAAAATTTATGCGATAGCCGAAAAAGAGTGTATGTGTAAATTATTGAAAACTTCCGGATTCCAGAAATTCTACCTGGAACGCCCGACGAAAATCTAAATCTATGGCGCACAGATGGCGCGATACCTGCGGACACGTCATTATACAAAAATATTAGGCAGTTGAAACAAGTCTGTCTGAATGTCGGTCCGCTATATACGAATGTACGTTTTTATTCCTATCTTGACGAAACTTTGTACGTTTGACCACGAAAAAAGAGGAATCGGGTCGTTACTACGGTTAACCTCGAAATTATTAAAACCTAAAAAGAATGCTCACGCTTGAATTTTGATATTTTAATAGAAATTTGTTGGTCGATTTGTACAGTTGGCTGGATGACACGAATCTAAAATTTAAAAAAAAAAAAAAACCGTTATTATTATCGGTTGTCACGGTCGAAGAAGAGAGCCCCTTTACAAGATCGATTACCTATGGATGACGACGAATAACTGTGATACTGATAAGGATGGAAACTTTGCAGTGGCGTTCGGACGTTTACCTAACCCGCGGACAACGCAATACGCACGGGCGCGTAAAGGCGCACACGGGTGCACGCGTGTACTGTACCGCCGTGTGGGGCGCGGGGGTACGCGGCGCGTGCACGCGTATTATCGTATTTTATAAACCGTTCTCCCGCGCGCGCGTCTGATGGGAGGGGGGGGTATTCTCATTAAGACCCGCGGCCGACGGCGTTGTTTAATGCGCACGCACACGCCGGCACATACACGGCGCGGAACGACCCCCCCCCCGCGTAATTTACAGGGCAATTTTCGAATTCAATTTCCCATACGGCGCGGGCTTAACGTCATTATGTATGGCGTTATAAACATCTCGAACGACCGCGCGACGGTGCGCTCCCGGGCGCGACGCATCCGGTAGTCGGTGGGAACGGGGTGGGGGGAGGGCGCCTAATAAACGCGCGCATAAACAAACGCGGACCGCTGGCTGCGTATAATTACGTCGCGCCGCCCGTTAAGCGCGACAACGAAACTCGGGGTACGGGGCGCGCCGCGTTCGTACGCCGGGTTCGGATAATTTACGTTCGCGCGGTAGTCCCGCCGCAACGCGAACGCGCCGCGACCCGATAGGTGTGTGTAGGCGCAGCCGTAGTTCATAACGAAACGAACACGACGGTTCCGTTTTTCGAGACCGCGAACCGTCGGCCGTAGCGTTCGTAAACACCGGCAGACGGTACGCGCGCGCACGGCACACCGCGCGTGGACAACGATTACTGCATACCTGTGAATCTGTTATTTTTAAATGGTTTTTTTTTTTTTAAAAAAAAGAGGTAAAAAGTCGACAAATAGGTTCGGCGCTGTTCGACCTATTAAAACCGGTCGGGTGTGTCAACGAACGGAAAAAATAAACGACGACGAAAATCGTCCATATTTCTCCGACAAATTAACGGAATTCCGTTTCGCCGCGTTCCGGATAAATTCCCGAAAACCGAACGAAATGAACGGAACAAAATAGTTTCTTTGAATCCATTCCTTCCGAACACTCGAAAGACTGTGAATCGGAACAAAAATGGCCGAAAGTCATTATTTTTTTTTTTATTGTTTTTGACAAATATTTCTGACACGTACAAAGCGATTGATTCGTTTGATTTTATGGAATTGTAAACCTAAAACGCTTTTCGATTGATTACCGCGGTAATATAACTGCCGATTCACAGCAGAGAACAGAATATTGTTACATTCGACTCGAAGGAAATCGTTATTGTAATATATTAGGTACAGCTCTTCAAAAATCTGAGTCGGTTTGCCCGGGGACCGACAATAAATAACAGCAGCAGCAGACACCGGCGGTGCGCACTCGACGCGTTTTGTTTTATTATAGGTAAACTATCTCGAGTGTTGGGCAAAGTCGTAACTGACGACGTTGAACAGAATTATCGGTGATTTTTGTTTACACCGAATGATCCGATACGATGACGACATTCATAAACTGTATAGACACCACGCTGTTTATAGCGTCACCGTTGTCGCGGCACACAAATTGTATTTTATTTATACGTTATTATTTATCATTTAAAAGTTTAAGTGCGTCCTGACGGTATAAAATATCGATAGTATAATAATATATATTATGGTGTACCGTATACTTAATGCGCAGCACTCGTACCGGATTTCAAAACTCTATTGACATCGTAAGTTTGTCTACATAATCGCGTTAAAAGTTTTCGGTTTAAATTTATGCCATTCGTTCGTGATACGTTCAATAACAAACGTTTCAACAGTTTGATTGCATTTGAAGAATATGCCGAACAACATATTATAAGGTTTACGTTGTATCAGTTATCAACGCAAAAAACGCACCTATTGTTTTAGAATATTCATCGTGTTAATACTATTTAATTTCCGATTTATTTATCGACACGTATACGTCTGATATTTTATCGTCAATTTAATATTAATTGTCGATACAATATACCGTTGTTATTGTTGTTATATTATTACTATATATGAACATTTTTTCGTCTTTCTATCTTTGTCTCTCCAATATTTCGGTTTTAGTAATTTAATTTTAATCATGTGTTCAATAGTTTTTCTCGATTTCATACATTTATTTTAACGAGAACTGCTCTGTTAGCACAATGGTACATGGCTTCTAGGGACGGGGCAGCTACAATATCTGTAATCTGATTACTTCGCAAAATACGTATACTATTATGTTATTATTTATTGTTCCGATACATTTTAATCGTACATTAACATATTATTATAGTGTCCGTGCGATTGATTATACCGTTTAAAAATGCATAAATTATCATAATAGATCACGAATAATAATGTTGTCTATAATCACCGTCGTGCGTTTAAAAACAATGATATACACACTGAAAAGCGCAATCGGGCCAAATCATATGATATACGCATTCTGACTCGCGCTTATAAAATTATAAGTGTATGCGCCGGTACCTAAAAACAATTTGCGAAATAATAACAGTCATGCAGATTTTATAGCTCGCGGTGGCCGGTATGCCCATATAATAATACGATAAATGGGATTATAGGGTATTGTAATTACTATTATCGTTTTATTTATTCAAGGCTTCAACGGTTATCGCCAATAGCCTAAACGAAAAAGACATTACAGTTATACAACTGAAAACGAAACGCTTCATGAGACCGGCACAGCGGTATTGAACGCCTCGTGCCTTTCTACTAAAGGACGATACAAGCAAAGGTCTTTGACATCGGTTTGGAATACAATAAACGCCTATTATATACATTGCCGACGAGAATGTTTTGAAGGCAACCGCCACTTCGGCCTCTCAAAATTCTCGAAATATTCAACTCGCAATTGTACGCGAACGAAAAAAAAAAAAGAAAACCATAGACGGCCGTCGCGGCTTCGTATATTCTTAACGCTTACGGTCTAAAATTCGCGATATTTACAGAATCGTACGGATTATTTACAAAGTTTATTTGGGTGGGGGAAATGAATGATTTGCGTGCCATGGCATTGTTGTATTTAGTGTACGCTTTGAATATACACTACTGCACTGCGGTATACCTAAATGCTAATGACGCGAAAAGTGAAACGTTTTAAACTAAAACGTTTTATTATCGGTATACGAAATTTCAAAGAACGTCAGTTATTATGAAAAGATCGCGTTGAATTCACGTGTACCGTGCGTACACACATAATATGCACGTGTACAACGGTCTTATAGACGATACACAAGCTCGTGTTTGAACCGCAAACCGCTACACGCAGCATCGCGGATACTATTATCGCGTATAGCGTTCAATGATATTTGTTTTCGGTACCCATATAATTGCGTTGCATCGTCGGAACAACAGACAATATTCGGCGATCGCCTACGGGCTGACCAATAGGAGCCGGGCCGGAACGCCGCATAAAATATTTCATAATATTCTTGTCCGTCGGCTGCTCTAATGTACTGTAAATACGTATACACATCATACGTACTATACGCATTAATGCGCGCCTAACTATATATGTATATATGTTATGTATGCATGCATGTAAACCTCTTGGTCTGTCCACGCATGTTATTACATTAACCGTGTACAATGTTAGTACGATACGTAATGAGGCGTAGCTGGTACGTATTTAATTCCCCCGAAAACCGTTCGAAGCGAACGAAGCAAACGCGTGCGTAACTTTCATAGCGTATACGGGGCGTTCCACGTCCAATCGCGGGGTTATCGGCCCGAAGAACAGCGGATTTTTTCGATTCGTCTCGGACCGAAACGAGACCTCCAATCCCATGGCATTTTCTCGTTAGTTCTCGGGGCCGCCACCGTCGTTAACGTTTCGAATTCTACAGTTTTGAAAATTCAAATACTGTGTTCTATTTAGTACTGGTTTTCAGTCGGGACCCGGAATTTTAGGCTGTCGCGTGATTTTACCCGGCGTCATTCCGGGCCGTTTCGTACCCCCACCAGCGGATTACACCGATAACAACTCGAAAAAAAATAACCCGTCTAATCGCGGTATAAATAATAGTGCGCCCGAACAACGCAGTTCCGTTATTAGATACTCCTTTCTATATAAAATTACGATATTATAATCGCCTGTCGGCCGAATTGGTTTTCGAGAGTAAAAATATAATAATATACATATGCGAGGGGAAAAGGAAAAAAAAAAAACTCAAATTTATTTTAAACATATGATATAATTATGTGTTAAACATTATCATTAAAGGTGGAATTTTCGGACGGAACCGCCCGGCAGGTAAGTACGCTACAAACGTTATTTTATATAATATATTTTTTTTTTAATAGTAATACAATATACCGAGATATATATATATATATATATATATATATATATATAATTACCCGTCGAAACGATCCAATCAAATTTCGAAGGGCAATAGAAAAATGAAAAAAAAAAAAAAGAAACCGAAATCTAGCGCACAACGTAATATCATCAGGGTTACATCAGGAGTTAAAAAATAATAACGGGTGTCGGATTTTATGTGTAGGGTATTATATAGGTTTTCGGTCGCGGACCTCCGGCGTGCGCTACACCGTACAGGCGCGCCGGAGTATTCACGGAGAACCGTCGAACGCGTTGGTCCTTCGGAAACACGTGCGTGCGGCCGCGTTCTTTGCGTATCGGCGGAATATCGTGTATGTGCGTGTGCGTACAATAACTGGGGTACGTTATTATTTCCGTGGGTGTACAGTGTTACGGCGGCAACGAACTGTGGGGGATTTTGCGGCTCATTTATACGGTGCCCGAGAGCCGAGACGGTCGGCTAATTGAGCGCGGGGACCATTGTGTGTCGTATACTTGCGTACGTGTACGTACAGTACGTATTTTCTATGTATATATAATATCGTGTACGCGGTCCGGAACGCGATATACGTATATATTTCGTTATAATAGAGATTTCTTTTCTTTCTTTTTTTTTTTTTCTCTTTTTTTTTTCTCTTTTTTCCCCCCGGCCCCCGTTTTTTTCCGCTCTGCGCAGCACAAATCGAAACCGAAAGTGCCACGGCGACAATGGCCGAGCCCGTGACAAATGGCAGACCCTTTTACGGCCCCGTTGATTTACAACGTCGTTTCGGGTATTTTCGAAACAGTTTCCCACATTATTATAATGTCAAATCTATATAGGGCATTCTGTATATATATATATATATATACTATAGGGTATCGCGCGTAATCTATTATACGACGTCTGCACTGACCTTTCGCGTGCTGGGGAGGGGGGCGGTTTCTGTCCCGCGAGGTTTTCTTCTTCATCCTTACAGCCGGACACGCGCTTCGTATTATAACGCCGACCGCGGGTCACGGCCGCGCGTACACCGCCGCCGGAACTGCCGTAGACCGCCGGTTTCATCGCAATCATTTTCTTCCCTATCTGTAACAAAATAACACATTTATTGATTTATTTGTTATAAATTATACGGACCGAACCCACCAGTAGTACGAATTAGGCGTAACATCGCAGTACGCGCTATATAGATACTTAACATAAATATACAATTTCGGAGTAAAAATGAAAACCACGCAAACTGCAACTTAAAACCAAAGAAGTCTCTATTAGCATGAACCGTCAAAAGTCTAACAGGTTCGATTCACATTTAGTTGGCCGTGCTTAAAGGTACGATGGACGCAGAAGAGAAACGCGACAGGATCGTTATTGGACTTTAAAGTTATTTAAAGAAAACAAGGACGGACAATCAACATTAACGAGAATTTTAAAAATGTGTTCCTCCAAAAAACGCCCGCGCTCCGCTAATCAGACTAAACCAAGATGATCGGAAACAGAACAATAACCGTGTGACGGAAAAGCAACCCCTATAAAGTAACTGGTGAATCTCAAATACCTTCGCTGTACACTCTTCAGTATTTATAATTATATATTATTAAAAATTGATATTGCCACTAATGGGTAAGTCATCACTGTTGTGTGTAGATGGGTAGTTGGGAAGGTAAAATATGTATTGTCTAGGACTTTCCATTCTGTTTGACGGGATTTTACACCAACTGTCGAACTGGCGTAATCTAATTTGTTGCTTTTAACGACGGGTAAAGGTGCCGCGGCAGTATTCTCAACCCCTTCTACAGGGAGAATGGTATTGTCAAATACACTCGTAAAGTAAATTTCTCCAATATACACAAAACAATACCATATACCTACTGGAATCATCCAACTGAGCTTTCTACCAGTATAGAAGCTCGAGACTCCGAGTTCGCTAAACCCGTAGCAGGGTAGAGTACAAAGGTAATAGTTATTAAAATTTAAACATTTAATATTTTTTTTTATTCATTTAAATATCGTTTTACCTTTATCGGGATAATTAGATAATTTTCACTTTTAACCATCTTTTTATCTTCATCCAGATACATGTTGTTCAATTATTTTTGCTTAACGCGCTATTAACTATTAATAATTGCGGGAAACAAACTGTAATCAGTCGAACTTATACGAAAAATAACTTATCGAAATTATTTTTAACCAAATTTAATGCTCACAACATTGCACATATTATTATACGAGTATTATATCGATAAAAGTGCGGTGCAAACCGTCGTAATATTATCATACGTATTTTTGGGGGGGTTTCAAAACGTTTATAAAAATGGATCGTAGGTGTATGTATAATGAATGTTGTATTCATGACGGCGGTCAATTATGTTAAAGTTGGCCTACATAAATTATGTATAAATCATGACGTACACAGTGATAAACCCCACGGATAACGTAACAACACGGCAATAATAATTTGTGCTCGTATAATTTATAAATTATAATTACCCTTTTTTAATCTTATTACTGTAATAAATAGCATATTATTATTGTTAATGTTCCGGCCGTGTTTATGCATAATACACATCACGTGATGTGTATTTAATTGTAAATTATAATATTATATCGTACGAAAGAAAATATAATATATAATGCGCTCGGTTGGGTTTCCTTTGACTTTCATTTTTTTTTTTTTTTTTTTATTAATTTTCACAGAGGCGGTATTTCACTGAATTAATGTTATGTAATACAATTCCGTTTTAAGCGGCTTGGCCGTCAAGTCTTACAAGACATTTACCGTCCCTGCAGTCTGTTCTATTACAAACGGGTAATAATAATGTAGCGGAAATGTGACCGACAAAACGATCAGACACTTATCTCTAAATTATGGTCATTGAAATTTTTCGTAAAAATATTAACTTTTTTAAATTACGGTTATAAAAGAAAAATAAAACACGTAAAATACGATTATTTCGTGTCTTCGTTATTAATAAGTTGTACGTTTAAAGAATTGTTAAAACGCCGACCGATTTGCTTGTGCACATTTTCTAATCGGTGTTTACCTCTAAAACCGATTTCGCAGTTTTCCCCGTTTGTTTTACGAGAACGCGTTGTACTGTTGTGTGTACATGTATTGCCCGTTAGAAAGACTGCGAAAATGGCGCCGTAAAGGCCCCCGCAGTGTCAAAGCGTCTAATAAAACGCCGCCTTTCGGTTGTGTGTAAACATAATATACGTATGTGCGTCGTCGTAACAATAATAGCAATGATAATACGACTCTTACGACTAACAAACAATATTGTAAACGACAATCGTACCGCAAATCGGATTTTAAACTGCGGCGCAGACGCGGTGACGATACACAACAGCTCCCCCCCCCCCCCCCCCTCCCCGAACAATTTGGCACGCTCGTGTACGGTTTACACTTACATCAGTTACATCATCTCTGGACGGACCAGACGATTAATAATATATTTCATAACACACAACTTATCGGCATTCGGACGTTTAAACCGTACGTTTTATGAAAAACTATTATTGGGCTCGACGTGATAATTCATTATTATTATTATTTTTTTTTTTTATTCCGTTTTACTTGGCACTTATAACTGCAGCGTGGTACGGACCGACCCGCGTGTATAATATAATATTATCGTCGTTTTCCGTATTGTAATGTGTGTATGTATATATATAGAAAGCTATGTGTTTTTTTTTTTATTTTTTTAAGTTTATATACGAATACATACGAGATAAACCGTATGCCCACCAGCGCTTTGTTCGCACCCGTTTTAACTGGATCGCATCACAATTAAATGCTATTTTTTTATTTTTTTTTTTTTAAACGCGTTTACGCATTATGTATATATATATACACATATAAACCTATAAATTATAATAAATAATGATAAAATAATCGCGCTCGGTATACGCCAGTGCACGTACAAGTTTCGCAGCGTCTTTAGAAAATATTAATGCAAATTTCGGCAAATTAAAAATCGCCTCCTCCGGCTAAAACATTACGTATGGTTTACACGGCCAGACGTATATAATATACATAATATAAACATACTATACATATAGACGAGCTGTGCGATCGTCCAGACATAGCGGCCGTACACTGTATAATATCATGTTGTATCAAACGCACTTTTGTCCCTTCAGACAAATCGGTTATTATTCGGTCGTTCGCTTGTGTCCTTGTGGCGCTATCCATGTTTTTTTATTATATTATATTGCTGGCACTAATTTTCAGTGATTACTCGAGTATACCCGTAATTTAATGGGTGCGTTATATGCATAAAGTACCCGCGGAGCCTTGCTCTGGTGGAGGTCTACGAGGTGGTCGAAAATACGCGTAAATTTATTGACATATATGTTGAGTAATTATTCAACGCGTTATTGCTAAATTTTGCAAAAAAAATTTTTAATAAATAATAAATATAGATACCCATAACCGATAGGTATGTAGATAGATAGAATTTACCACTGAAATTTTCTAAAAAAAAGGGATCGGGACCAATAGATCC